GTCTTGCTTCAGTGGGGCTTTGGTGCTCACTGAGTCTGCCCCCTGAGTGTGTCCCTTATGGATCTGAGGAGTTGTAATCTGGATGGTCCCACTCTGACCTCTGGGTACACGAGCTCTTGGATCTCTAAAGAGGTGCTAATTTAGCATCTCCCTGAGGCTACCCAGCAGGAGCTATGGAGAGATCTACAGATTCCTCTTGTTTGGGGTTTGGAGGTGCCCAGATGAGGCCCAGCTGTGAAGCAATGCAAGCTGCTGTGGGGCCTTGAGCCTTCTCTTGGATGTTCTGGGTCTCACTGACCCAGGTTCAGTTTTTTAGGTAATTTTAGATCTCAAAGGGCCAGGGCATTCATATGCAAAAGCCTCTGCTCGAAGCTTGGGTGGGGCGGGGTCTCTGGGAATCAACAGGGCAGAGAAGGCAGCTATGGCTTGTCCTCAGTCCTACCCTAAGAGGCCCAAGGTCTCAGTGTCCCAGTAGTCATGGCAAGCACCTCTGAGAGAAAGCCGCCTTCGAGTTCTGCCCACTGCCAGACAGTCCAGTTTCTCCCCGTATGAGTCTGGGTCCCCAGAGACTCGCCCGGAACTGGAGTTAAGAGCCATTGGGAGCTTGAGACTCCCTCCCGATTGAAAAAGACAACTGCATTCTCCGTTGCCAGTCCTTTCCACGCGTGCGCCTCCGTAACTCTGTACTTTACTTCCGCACCTCCTCTGAGTCTCAGTGTGCTTTTCTCTTTCCTTCTAGTTGTAGAATTTCCACTCAGCCAGCCTTCCTGTGGTTCTGGATGATGTCCGTTTTGTCTTTTAGTTGTATTTTTGAAGTGGTTGTTCGAGGCAGCAATTTCAGGTGTTTACCTATGCCGCCATCTTGGTTTTCTATACTTATTTATTTAATATATTTTTATTGATTTCAGAGAGAAACGGGGAGGGAGACATAGAAACATCAATGATGAGAATCATGGATCTGCTACCTCCTGCAAGTCCCACACAGGGGATCAACCTGCAACCCAGGCCTGTGCCCTGAACTGGTAATCCAACAGTGACTTCTTGGTTCCTGGGTCCACGCCCAAGCACTGAGCATGCCGGCTGGGCCTGTATTATACTTGCAATCATTATTTTAGGATGTGTTCTTTCTACTTTAAAGAGAGCTGGATACAAAACAGCAGCCATGTCATGTGGGCAGCAGCCTCATGCATGTTGTTTACTAAATCTCTTGACTGCATCATTCTCTCGTGCTTGGTTTCATCTCGTGTTGTTTTGCACAGGAACACGCTGTGCAGGCGTGTAGCCAGGGGCCACAGGCTGGACCATGGAGCCCAGGCGTGTAGCAGGCGGTACCGTCCAGGCGTGTGGAGGTGCACTATCCTGTTCACACAAGGATGAAACCACCCAAGGATGCCACTCCTCAGAGTGAGCCCTCAGCGTTCTGTGCACACGACTGTGCTGACTGAATGTGACGGCCCTTCAGCACCAAGACAGCCGAGGGGAGGGGAGAGGGACTTTCACATTTACTGGGACAGTAATGATGTAGGGACACCTGCCATTCTTCCTGTTTAAGGAGACAGAACAGAAGAGCAGAAAGAGGGAGAGAAAACGAACACTTACTGGGCACCTATAGGCCTGGCTGGTGCTGGGACAACGTGTCCAGAACATTATCCCCTTCACTTCCCATTTTACTGAGTTTCCAGAGTGGACCAATTATTTTTAGATGCAAATACATCACCTTCGGCACATGCAATGGTTACGCTTTCTGACGCGAGGCCACCACAGAGAACGGCCTTCTGCCCGATACACGCCTTGCCCAGTGCGAGCCTCGTCGCTCACACCCAGCACAGGCTCTGGGAGGACACGGCATCAGCTCGGCAAGGAGGGTCCCCGCTTTCCGCGGGGGAGGGACAGCACAATAGTCTCTCGTTTTGCATCAACCACTAAATCTAAAATAATTCTGACAAAGAGGCCAGTTTTGATTTTACTTTCCTTCTACAGCTACAATAAGAACGAACATAAAACGAATGGCCCTGATGGACACTAATGTTACAAATGCCAAACACAACTAATATCTTACTGAGAAAATATAAAATATAACCCGTGATATGAAATTAAAGGCTGCAAGTCTTGAGTACCTGGTTTTCCAGAACAATCAATTAGGAAAAGAAAACCCCAAATACTCTAACCATTTTCCCCATATCCCTAAAATATAAGGTCTTTACATAAATTAAAACAGTGCATACTTCAAATACATACACAATACACACCAAAGAACTATAGTAGAAATCCTTAAATATTTTGAAGATTTAAACACAGAAGTATGAACTCTGCAAACAAAAATAACTCCTGAGGAGATCACGCTCACACTCGGGCACGGGGTTTACGTCACAAGCACAGGGAAAGTCATCCACTCTCAGGTGTGGCACGAGGTCACGTCACAAGCTCAGGGAAGGTCATCCACTCTCAGGTGTGGCAGGAGGGTCACGTCGCAAGCTCACGGAAGGTCATCCACTCTCAGGGGTGGCAGGAGGGTCACGTCGCAAGCTCAGGGAAGGTCATCCACTCTCAGGGGTGGCAGGAGGGTCACGTCGCAAGCTCAGGGAAGGTCATCCACTCTCAGGGGTGGCAGGAGGGTCACGTCGCAAGCTCAGGGAAGGTCATCCACTCTCAGGGGTGGCAGGAGGGTCACGTCGCAAGCTCAGGGAAGGTCATCCACTCTCAGGGGTGGCAGGAGGGTCACGTCGCAAGCTCAGGGAAGGTCATCCACTCTCAGGTGTGGCAGGAGGGTCACGTCGCAAGCTCAGGGAAGGTCATCCACTCTCAGGGGTGGCAGGAGGGTCACGTCGCAAGCTCAGGGAAGGTCATCCACTCTCAGGGGTGGCAGGAGGGTCACGTCGCAAGCTCAGGGAAGGTCATCCACTCTCAGGGGTGGCAGGAGGGTCACGTCGCAAGCTCAGGGAAGGTCATCCACTCTCAGGGGTGGCAGGAGGGTCACGTCGCAAGCTCAGGGAAGGTCATCCACTCTCAGGGGTGGCAGGAGGGTCACGTCGCAAGCTCAGGGAAGGTCATCCACTCTCAGGGGTGGCAGGAGGGTCACGTCGCAAGCTCAGGGAAGGTCATCCACTCTCAGGGGTGGCAGGAGGGTCACGTCGCAAGCTCAGGGAAGGTCATCCACTCTCAGGGGTGGCAGGAGGGTCACGTCGCAAGCTCAGGGAAGGTCATCCACTCTCAGGGGTGGCAGGAGGGTCACGTCGCAAGCTCAGGGAAGGTCATCCACTCTCAGGGGTGGCAGGAGGGTCACGTCGCAAGCTCAGGGAAGGTCATCCACTCTCAGGGGTGGCAGGAGGGTCACGTCGCAAGCTCAGGGAAGGTCATCCACTCTCAGGGGTGGCAGGAGGGTCACGTCGCAAGCTCAGGGAAGGTCATCCACTCTCAGGTGTGGGACGAGGTCACGTCGCAAGCTCACGTGAGGTCATCCACTCTCAGGTGTGGCAGGGGGGGCACGTCGCAAGCTCACAGAAGGTCATCCACTCTCAGGTGTGGCACGAGGCCACGTCACAAGCTCAGGGAAGGTCACCCACTCATGCAGCCGGGGTTCACGTCACAAGCACAGGGAATGAACGCTGAGGTCACTTGATGCAAGTAGGATGCTGATCCTCCAATGACATCGACACGGGTGGGAGCTTTGGGTCGCGTGGTAATAAATAGGTAATAAACATCTGCATGCACGGCGCACGGAGCGCCTATCTCTCTCCGTTGGAGAGTCTGTCTCCAGAGTCGTAGCGCGTGAGCGGCAGCCCCGGGGGCGGGGAGCCGGGGCTCTGCAGCAGGTGCGCCAGCAGCGCCACCTTGCCATCCACGTGCTCCTGCAGGGCGCGCAGCCGCTCGTCCAGGTAGTCCGTCAGCCTCCGCTCCATCAGCTCCAGGTTCTTACACAGAATCTTTTCCAAGTAGGAGCAGGCGGGCGGCTCTCCCATCCTAAAGGGAATGAAAGACCAAACATGACCCTGACCTCCAAACGGCAACAAAAGCCACTAGACAGCCAGCAGCAGCACACAGCCTGCTGCTTCCCCTGCAGCCCCGCACTGCTCTGAGTCCGTAGGCAAAGACTTACCCACCACCAAGGCCGCCTTCGCTGGGCGTGGGGACGTGTCCCGGCCACGCGGCGCTCTGAGCCCCACGGAGCCGGCGCACCTGCCCGCACACGTCCTGCAGGAGGGGCAGCAGCTCGGGGGCAGGGGCCGCGGGGCTGTCACTCGGCCTCTTTGGTAAGGAAGACGCCGCTGCGAGCTGAAGGTCGCTCCCCGGGAGAGGATGGCTCTGGGGCGCAGTGTCCCACTCTCCCAGGGGTGCGGGGTTCCCTCCTCCGGGGGGCCGTGCGTTCTCCTCCCCGGGAGCTGTCACGTCTTCTGTCCCGCGTCCCGAAGTCAGCCCGGCTCTGAGAGGCACAGGTGCGCAGGTTGGCCTGTCGCAGGTTCCCGAGGGCGCCGGGGCCCACAGGCCCAGCATCCGCCTGGAGGCAGCGCTCCCCAGAACCGCCTGCAGCTGCTCCCCCAGGGGAATGCAGCGCTGAGGGAACAGGGAATAGGGCTGTGAACAGCAATGACCAGAGGAAGTTTGCGGTAATTTAGAATCAGGCCCCGGGCATTCTCCACTGGGTCCCCGACACAGCCCTATGCAGGCAGCCACCATGACTGCACCAGCAGCTGAGGGGACCAGGTTCAACGTCGCCCGGCCAAGGCCGCACAGCTGGTGAGTGGGAACCAGGATGCGCCCCGGCGACCCGATTCCAGTCCGGGCTTGTCATCCCTTGACTGTGGGTTTTCCTCAAGAAAATGCGAAAACAAATACCAGCACACTTACTACAACTGCACGGGCAGAGTTAATAGTTCCTTCCTGACTCATGGAAGTAAACGTGGGCTCTCCACCGAGGCACAGGAAGGGGTAGTGTCCACAGAATTAAGTATCACCTGTCACTTCCCACGTGGTCGCCAACCTGGGGATGTCCCAGGACCCACAGGCATGGAGACGCCCGGCTGGAGGCGCCCATACTTCCCGCTTGTGCAGTGGGAAATCTGTGATGCCTGCAACGTCTAGACGTTCCGTGACGAACAAGAGCTCCTTTTGAGCTCCGTCTGCCTCAGTCGTTTGTAGGCCAATAGATTATGTTTTGGGTCCTCAACTCAACTGAATATATTTTCTCCCAGCAAACGGGGCCCGTCCCTCAGTAACATGAAATGACAACTATACGCAGGCACTTTGATACAGAGTCCCACCCCATCATCCCACATCGCTAACGCAAGCACAGAGCCTGCAATTCTGAACTTCAAGCACAGGAGATAAAAAGTAAACTTTCAAAAACCAGTAACCGCAGGCACCAGCAAAGCAGGGAGCGGCTGGGACCTCACAGCCCAGGGCCCTCAGGACGGGCCCCGCCCACGTTCACCCAAAGGCCCCAAACAGCCTGCTCACACCATCCACAGAGAGGAGGCCTGCTCATGGAACACCCAGGTTTACACGCAGTGAGGGGTGCCCCGGCTCACACGGCTTTTTCCAGGGGTCATTCCGCAGACCCTGTGCTAACACCTAGCACTCCCAGAGAACCAGCCTGTCCTGCAGGAATCGCTCCGTTACGACAGACGCCCCCGGGAGGACGTCTTTCATTGGCCCCAGTTTTGGGGTCTCCTTTCTTCCCCCGGGGGCTCCCCACACGTCCCCATATGTAATGAGTTAGCCCGGCGTGGGGAAAGCAGGTGACAACACACGTGCCGGGTGGGAGGACTCGTAAGCGGTCCACAGGCAGAGAACCCGCCAGGAGGAGTCACCGCAGGTGGGGAAGAGGGTGCTGCAGGGGGGGAGCACTGATTCACTCACTGTCCTTCTGAAAGGCCTGAATCCACGGCAAAGGAGCCACGTGACGTTTGGAATTAAACCAACAAACGAACACCCCAAACCTTGACACACGGCCGACAAATGCACTCTGCCGTCCTAGCCGCATCCTGCTCCCCTGGCTCTGGAGGTTTCATTACAATGATTTTATGGGAAAAAGGTGTGAAAAGTCAGGGCAACAAAAACAGTGTGGGCAACTGAGCTTAAAAGTGAGCAAACGTCACACTTCCTCTCCTCTTCCTCGGCTCCCGCCCTCCCACGGCCCCAGGGCCCGGGACTCGGGAGCCCCTTGACGACAGGCTGCAGGGACCCGGCCTGGAGCGGCTCCCGGCGCCAGCAGGGCCTCAGTCCCTGAGCAGCTGCTCATCAACATGAGCGGAATGAGGGAGGGAGGGAAGGAGCTCCTGGAGAGCTGTGACCTCTGCTTTTTCCAGAGACTAGATCTACACAGCGCTATTTTCCATCAGTAAGGAATGACAGGTCACGTCAATAATAAAAGTGCAAAGGAAAGTTTAAATCGCTCCATCCTATATAATGAAAGGCCAGCGACCGTAACTGCGTAACGACCAGGACGACCAATTGACCAGTCGCTATGAGGTGCATTGACCACCTCTCGGTCCCTCCCCCAAGCCCACAGGCTCCGATCGCTGCATGGCCAACGGGGAACGAAGGGGAACCAAGGGGAACTGGGGTGGTGGTGACAAGGGGAACCAGGGTGGTGCTGGCAGGGGGAACCGGGGTGGTGGTGGCAGGGGGAACCGGGGTGGTGCTGGCAGGGGGAACCGGGGTGGTGCTGGCAGGGCAGGACTGGGGACTGGGGAGCGGGCGGAAGATGGCCCGGATCTCAGGCTAGGCCTAGGGACCCTGCCCGTGCATGGTTTCGTGCAGCGAGCCCCTAGTGTCCTTATAAAAAGCCACCGTTTACCGTTTACAGGCGTCTGGAAAAGAGCCCCTCCACGTACCTGCTGCTGGAACCTGACCATACTCATCAGCTGCTGAGCTCCAGGGGACAGCGAGGACCCCATGGCCTCCACCATGGCGTGGACCCTCTCGAGGTCCACCCTGGACCCCAGAGCAGGAGAGCTTGTGGGAGACTTTGCTGGGACGGGTCGCACGTGCACCACAACTTTACTGACGAACACACACGGCTTTTCACCAAAGGAGAGCAACTGGCATAAAACAGAAGTTAGGAAAGGAACAATATGGAACAACAATCGCTACTTACGGTCACTTCCTGCTGTGACCTAAGTAACAGTGAAGCAGTCAAGAGTCTAAAAGTTCACTTAGGTTTCGCTAGAATAGTTAGAGTCTAAAAACTACTCAGAACCATTGAAATAAAAAATGTTAAACTACACAATCACACGTACAATGACATTTTACATACTTAGATGAGGAATCAAAGATAAACCATAGCAATCTGTCCGCTTAATGTACTGCAAGTTGCTTTAATATTATGAATACAGAGCAGGGTCGGCCAGAGCCCAGGCAGTGTTTGCTGAAATAGTAAATTTTGTGCAATGCTTTATGCTGCCCCACTTCGTCCACACTTTAAACCAAACCACGTTCCCTGTGGTCCGGACAACACAGCCGCCCAGTGAGAGGGAACAGGCTCTAGACTCAGACAGACAGGCGCTCAGCAAAGGCTCTGCTACTACTCTCCCTTGGTGTGTGTGTGTGTGTGTGTGTGTGTGTGTGTGTGTGTGTGTATGTGTGCAGTGATGGATCTGCTACCCTGCATGTGTGTGTGTGTGTGCAGTGATGGATCTGCTACCCTGCATGTGTATGTGTATGTGTGAGTGTGTGTGGGTGTGT